ATTCTGCTGCGGAGAGGCTGGAAGCGTGAACGACTGGAGGATGCCCTCCCCCTGACAAAAGTCCCGCAAGAGGTCGGAGGAGAACTCACCACCTCTGTCAGAGTGCAGACGGAGGACAGGAAGATCCGTCTGGAAACGCTCGCGAAGCTGGAGATGAACAGCGCGGATCCAAGGGATCAGGACAGCAGGGACCTCACCCTTGCTGCGCAAGGGGAAGACCGTGGTGTACCGCGAGTAGTCGTCAACAACCAGCAGAAAGTACTGCTCGCGGCCCTGTCCCCGGACGCGGGCTGGGCCCCACACGTCCATGTGGAGAGTCTGCAGGGGAGCGTCTGTCGGGGGAAACGAGGAGGAGTGAGGAGCAGCGCGCTGCCGCCCCTCGACGCAAGGAAGACACGGCGGGGCAGGCGAGCGTGGGAGCGACGGCAGCGACTGGGGAAGACCAGAGACAAGCCGACAGGAGTGCATGCCCCGGAGGCGCGGCAGAGAGGGGTGACCAAGGCGGTGGTGCCAGAGGAGAGTCTGGTGCGACAGGCGACGACACAAGCAAGGGGCAGACTCCGGACCGGACAAGGACACCTGACCAGTAGCAGCAACCTGGGGAGACCCGACAGTCAGGGTGTACAGACTCGACCCAGGCCGACGGGTGAACGTGGCCAGGTGGCGGCCCGTGCGGGCACACGTGCAGATCGCCACACGACGTCCTCCAGGGGTGAAGGTGTCAACCCACTCATCTCGGATGACGGCGTTACTCACCAGGTTCGTAGAGAACGAGGGGAGGTGGAGACCTGTAAGTGAGCCAGACGGGACCGCCGGACACGGGAGGACAGTGGAGGAACGTGCAAGGACAGGTCCCCCTGAGGGGTCAGCAAGGGAGACCGGAACAGTTGCAGGGAGCGGTGTGACTGTGGTGCTGTTGCGGAAGAAGCAGCGGGAGGCACCTGAGTCTAGCGTGAAAGTGTACAAGGCCTCAGTAGGCGCAGTACCTGAGAGAGCAGACTCACTAGCACCTAGAGCAGCAGACTTGCAAGCACCTAGGGCAACAGACTCACAAGCACCTGGAGCAGCAGCCTCTATACCAGGGTCTGGCGGAACACACAGGTAACAGTCACCCTCAGCACTAACAGTCAATGCATACATGGCAGCAAGGATAGCATCATAGTCAAGATCAAAGATCTCTACTCCCCTCCTAAGCAGCTCAGCCCAGTTGGGCATCTCAGAGCAGTCAGGAAACTGAGCACGCCAGGCGTCACTAAGGCGGGAAAAGCAGCGGTGCTGGGTGTGCAACCTCCCGCAGGTCTGACCAGCACGCTCACCCGTACGAATGACATACGGGCAGGTACCACCACCCCCAGGCGACTGACGCTGCGCGTACCACTCACGAAGGTCCTGCGGCGTACGGGGCAGGCGCTGGCGCTGCTGCTGCTGTGCCTGGCTGCCTCCAGAACCGCCACGCTGGGCCGCACCACTGCGACCACCGCCACCGACTCCGCTGCCACTCCCACCGCCGCCACCTCCGCCGCTGCCACCCCCACTGCTGCCGCCACCACCGACCCCAGCACCCCCACCCCCACCCCCGCCACTCCCACCACCCTCGCCGCCACCACCCGAGCCTCCACCACCGCCTCCACCCCCACCACCCCCACCACCCTTGCCGCCCTTCCCTTTGCCGCTGCGGCGCCTGCCACTGGAAGCAGACGCAACCCCAACCTCCTCAGCACCAAGGAGGACGACAACAGCAGCAGTGGCGACAGAGGGGAGGAGGGGAGAGGGGGAACACCCCTCGAAGAAGGGGGTGCGAGGAGTGCCTCGAGAAGCGCCCACAGCGTTAATGCTAACCTCAGCCGCTGTAAGGTGCTTTTCGAGGAGGTCTATAGTGAGCTCAGTGGGGTCCATGGCGAGGAAGGTGTCCCTGACAGCGCGAAGAGAGTCAGGGAGGCGAGTGACTAGGAGGTAGAGGGTGTAGTGGATAGGGGGAGGGTTCTTGGTGAGGAAGTCGGCAGGGGTCGCAGCACGCACCCGAGCGTCGCTAGTGCGGAGGTGGGTGATGAGATCAGCGACTGTGGGAAAGGCGGACAGGTCAGGAAAGAGGTAGGGCAGGATAAGACGGCCTAGCGCAGCAGTGGCAGGCGAGCTGTAGCGAGCTACTTCTGCGTCGAACAGGGCCTTGGCGGTTTTCTGTTGGCTAAAGTGCGCGCGCTCGGCTAACGGTAGGTGGTTTCGCACAGCTAGGCGAGCAGCAGCGTCGCGAATAAGCCACTGGTCACGAGTGTCAGCGTCAGCAGTGTCTGCAGGGGCGGCAGCGCTACCAGACGTATGAGCGAACAGGGACACACGATCCTTAGACTCGCACTGAAGGTAGAGCCTAAGGTCATCTAGCCGGGTTTCAAATTCGATCGGGCGGCCCTTTGTGTCAAATGTGAGAATATTGTAAGTCGCCATTTTTGGTAGCGCAGGGCAGCAAGGCGGCAGGAAGGGCAAGCGGCAGGAGGCGTGCACAGGGCAGCACGTGGCGGCGCGCACTGGGTTAGGGGCGGCCAGCAGGGGAGGAAGCGGACTGCACGCACGCGCAGGGCAAGGGGCGCGGCGGGCGGCGCACGGGTAGGGCAGGGGGGGCGCAGCAGCGGGCAGCGCACGGCCAGGGTAGGGTGGCGCAGTGGCGGGCTGCGCACGGGCACGGCAGGGGGCGCGGCGGTGGGCTGCGCACAGGCAGGGTAGGGTGGCGAGGCGGCGGGCTGCGCACGGGCAGGGCAATTAGGGTGGCGCGGCAGCGGGCTGCGCACGGGCAGGGCAGGGGGCGCGGCGGTGGGCTGCGCACGAACAGGGTAGGGTGGCACGGCAGCGGGCTGCGCACGGGCAGGGTAGGGTGGCGCGGCGGCGGGCTGCGCACGGGCAGGGCAGGTGGCGCGGCGGTGGGCTGCGCACGGGTAGGACAGGGGGCGCGGCGGCGGGCTGCGCACGGGCAGGGCAGTGCGCGGCGGTGGGCGGCGCACGGGCAGGGCAGGCGCGCGGGCGGCGGGGCGACGCGACAGCAGCGTGACGCGGCCAGTAGCGCGCGCGGGGTGGGGCAGGCAGAGCAGCGCGCTAAAAAAAAATTGCGCGATGCAGCAGTGGCGCGCAGCTAGCAGGGGCAGCGCGACTCAGGGTAGGGCAGTAGGGTAACGTAGTAATCGTAGGTGGAATGGTGGGCCCTAAGAAGAATGGTCCTTAGGAAGGACCCGCTCTGAAACCATGTTAGAAGGCTAAGATCGAATGGATGAACTAAGGCAAGAATGTGATACAAGTTTGAAACCCTAAAGGGGTTGTACCCCTTAGTGGCTACCCCACTATAGCCTACACAACACAAACAACAAATATAGTTCAACAAATGTCTCTCTCTATGACCACACGTCTGGCGCCTCTGTTGCTCTTGCTGCTACAGCTGAGCTTAGCATCCATTCCCAATGGCAGACTCGTGACGCTGCTGTCCGCCTAGACGTTCGCAACCACCTACCGCTAGCCGAACTCACGCATTTTGGCGAGCACAAACCGCTAAGGCCCTGTACGACGCTGTAGTTGCTCGATACTCCTCCCCTGCCACTGCTGAGCTTAGCCGCCTCATGCTGCCGTACCTGTTTCCTGAGTTGTCCACCTTTGCCACAGTTGCCGATCTCATCACCCACCTTCGCACTAGTGACACTCGCCTTCGCGCCGCCCGCCTTCCCCGCAGGCTTCTTAGCTAAGAACCCGCCTCCGATGTACTGGACCCTCCACTTCATAGTATCCTGTCTCCCTGACTCTCTCAGCTCGGTTAGGGACCACTTTCTCGCTCGCTGTCCCATTGAGCTCACAGTCGACCTCCTAGAGGAGCGCCTTGACCACGTGCGCATGGACTGGCCGTCACCTAACCAAGTTCACTCGTCGGCCAGGGTCGAGTCTTTACACACTGACGACTGTGTCTCCTCAGGTCGCTGCTGTCGGTCAGGTGTCTGCGTCAGCCTCCCCTTGTGAGTGTCGCTCCCTGTCGCACCAGACCCTTCTCTGGCACCACCGTCTGGGTCACCCCTCCTTGCCACGTCTACGTGGCATGCACCGTCGCCTCCTTGTGTCTGGTCTTCCCAGGTCTCTCCCTCCCCTCCCTGCCTCCCCAGCGCCGCCCTGCCTTTCTTGTGTCGAGGGGCGGCAGCGCGCTGCTCCTCACTCCTCCTCGTTTCCCTCGACAGAGGCTCCCCTGCAGACCCTCCACCTGGACGTGTGGGGCCCAGCCCGCGTTCGTGGACAGGGCGGTGAGCGGTACTTTCTGCTGGTTGTCGACGACTACTCGCGTTACACCACGGTCTTCCCCTTGCGCAACAAGGGTGAGGTCCCTGCTGTCCTGATCCCTTGGATCCGAGCAGTTCGTCTCCAGCTCCGCCGGAGGTTCCGTACGGACCTTCCTGTCCTGCGTCTGCACTCTGACAGAGGTGATGAGTTCTCCTCCGACCTCTTGCGGGCCTTCTGTCAGGGGGAGGGCATCGAGCAGTCGTTCACGCTTCCGGGCTCACCGCAAAAAAATGGGGTTGCTGAGCGCCGCATTGGCCTGGTCATGGAGATCGCTCGTACCTCCTTGATCCATGCGGCGGCTCCTGTGGCCGTTTGCGGTTCAATACGCCGCGCATCAGCTCAACCTCTGGCCCCGTGTCTCCTTGCCAGACACCTCGCCCACACTGCGTTGGACGGGAGAGGTTGGCGATGCGTCGGGTTTCCGAGTCTGGGGTGCTCGTGCCCTTGTCCGCGATACGTCCGCGGACAAGCTCTCCTCCCGCACCATTCCCTGCGTCTTTGTTTGCTTTGTCCCTGACGCGCCTGGCTGCTGCTGGAGCTGCTGGTGCTAGTGGTCGAGGAGACGCTGGGAGTGCTGGTGTTTCTGGTTCTGGAGGTGCTCGTACCGACAGGGCGTATTGGAGCTGCCAGGACTGGTAGTACTGCTGGATTTGGAGGTGCTAGTTCTGGGGGTGCTGAGTCTCCTGGCGGTCCTCCTAATGCTGTGTCGCAGTGGCCACCTCTCTCGCGACAGCAGCTACGCGAGTGGCTTGCTTCGCGCACCCGCCTTCGGAGTCGCGCTGCTGGGTAGAGGTACTGGGACTGGAGCCCCTGGAGTTGGAGGTGTCGGTTCTGGGGGTGCTGCTGCTGGAGGTACTGGAGCTGGAGCCCCTGGAGCTGGAGGTGCCGGTTCTGGGGGTGCTGCTGCTGGAGGCACTGACGTTGTAGACCTTGGAGCTGGAGGTGCCAGTTCTGGGGGTGCTGCTGCTGGACGTTCTGAAGCTGGAGACCCTGGAGCTGGCAGTGCCAGCTCTGGGGGTGCTGCTGCTGGAGTTACTGGAGCTGGAGCCCCTGGAGCTAGAGGTGCCGGTTCTGGGGGTGCTGCTGCTGGAGTTACTGACGCTGGAGACCCTGGAGCTGGAGGTGCCAGTTCTGGGGGTGCTGCTGCTGGACGTTCTGAGGCTGGAGACCCTGGAGCTGGAGGTGCCGGTTCTGGGGGTGCTGCTGCTGGAGACCCTGGAGCTGGAGGTGCCTATTCTGGGGGTGCTGCGCCTCGAGGTACTGAGACGGGAGGCCCTGGAGCTGGAGGTTTTGGAGCTGCTGGAGGCGCTGGAGCTGGAGGTTCTAGAGCTGCTGGAGGCGCTAGAGCTGTCGGTTCTTGAGCTGATGGAGGTGCTGGAGCTGGAGGCTCTGGAGCTGCTGGAGGTGCTGGCGCTGGAGGTTCTGGAGCCGCTGGAGGCGCTGGCGCTACTGGTGCTGGTGACACTGCACAGCTGCAACTGTTTTTCGCGCCGCCGTCACCGTCGTCTCTGCCACTGCCTAACTCCGTGCTTTGCCAGGTTCTTAGCCTCCCGTCTTCTACTGGCCTCCCGTTACAGCCAGGCTCCCCACTGCCCGCTCCTTCTCCTTACACTGAGCAGACTGACTCGCTTACAGAGCGTCGTGAGCCTGCGTCTCGTCCTGCCTCCCCTGTTCGCACTGTTCGCCGTGCTCGTCGAGTCCCGCGTCCGCGTCCTCCTCCTGTGCCTGGTACTCACACTATGGCACTTCGTCCCTCCTCTGCTCCGCAGCGTGTCCCCCTGCCGTCTCCTCCTGCGTCCTCTCTGCCTGACGTTCCGGACCCTGAGTCTGACCTGGTTCGTGCTGCTCACCCTACTTTCACACGTCTGCTCGCCACTGTTGTCACTGACCCGTCGTTTGAGTCTCCTGCTGGGTCTGCCCTAGTCTCTGAGCTTGTTGACTTTGCTGCTGCCTGTCGTCTAGACTACGCTGCTAGTCTTGTTGCTGAGTCTGAGTCTGTCTGTCCTTCGTCCGTCGGGGGTGAGTGTGCTCTTGGCACGGACGTCCTTGAGGACAAGCAGGAGGACTTTGAGTGTGCTGTACCACATCTCGTGGCCATGTTGCTTGCCCCTGAGGGAGACCCGGATGCACCAGACATCCCGACCCCGCGCTCTTACGCAGAGGCGATTGAGGGTCCCTACTCCTCTCAGTGGTAGACAGCCATGGACGCAGAGATGGCATCCTGGAAGTCCACAGGCACTTACGTCGATGAGGTTCCCCCTCCTGGGGCGAACATCGTCGATGGCATGTGGATTTTCAGGGTGAAGCGGCCGCCGGGTTCTCCGCCTGTCTTCAAGGCTCGTTACGTTGCACGAGGCTTCAGTCAGCGACAAGGAGTTGACTTCTTCCAGACCTTCTCCCCCACCACGAAGATGACCACTCTTCGGGTGCTGCTGCACGTTGCTGCTCAGCGTGACTACGAGCTTCACTCTCTGGACTTCAGCACAGCTTTCTTACAGGGCAGTCTGCACGATCTGGCTGCGCCGCCCACCTGGCTTCACTGGGTCGTTCCCTCCTGGTACCCAGTGGAGCCTCCGCCGGCCAGTCTACGGTCTCCGCCAGGCGCCTCGTGAGTGGCACAACACACTGAGGACGACACTTGCGGCTCTTGGGTTTGCTCCTTCGACAGCTGACCCGTCGCTGTTTCTGCGCACCGACACTTCGCTGCCGCCGTTCTACATCCTCGTGTACGTCGACGACTTGGTCTTTGCTACTGCTGACACCGCGGCACTTGCCCTTGTGAAGTCGGAGCTGGAGAAGAGACACACGTGCACAGACCTGGGTGAGCTGCGCAGCTACCTTGGCTTGCAGATCACCCGGGACAGAGCATGCCGCACCATCACACTGACTCAGTCACACATGGTGCAGCAGGTCCTTCAGCGCTTCGGCTTCACTTGGTCCTCGCCACAGTCCACTCCTATGGCTACGGGTCACTCGCTCTCAGCTCTGCCTTCGGATGAGTCCGTAGAGCCGAGTGGCTCGTATCCAGAGCTTGTGGGCTGCCTCATGTACCTGATAACCTGCACTCGACCTGACCTTGCCTACCCTCTTAGCATCCTGGCTCGCTACGTTGCGCCTGGGAGACACCGGCGAGAGCACTGGGAGGCTGCTAAGAGGGTGTTGCGCTACTTGTGCAGTACATCGGGCATGGGGCTCGTGCTTGGAGGACGGGGTGACGTTGTCCTCACTGGACACTCAGACGCGTCTTGGGTTGACGACTTGGCTACGCAGCGGTCGTCACAGGGCTACACCTTCAGCCTTGGCTGCGGCTCTGTTTCTTGGCGGTCTACCCGCTCTTCTTCTGTTCTCAGCTCCAGTTGTGAGGCTGAGATCTACGCCACAGCCATGGCTGCACAGGAGTTACACTGGCTCACCTACCTACTGACTGACTTGGGAGAGAGGCCTCGTTCTCCTCCAGTTCTGTACGTAGACAACAAGGCTGCCATTACCTTGTGTCAGGAGCACAGAATGGAGCACAGAACGAAGCACATCGCTCTGCGTTACTTCCTTGCTTGAGAGCTGCAGCAGCGTGGTCAGCTTTGTGTTGCTTACGTGGCCACCCGGGCCAACACTGCTGATATATTCACCAAGGCGCTTCCGTCTGGTGATCATCAGCACTTATGTACTATGTAAGGCCTTGTGCCTGTTTCGTCTCACTTGCTCACTTCGTGACCTTGCTTGTACTGTGATCTATATATATATACCTGCTTGCTTGCTCTTGCTAGGTAGTGATCACTGTACTGTTGCTGTTCCATATATACCTCTGCATGTGAACTGGTCTTGTGACCCCTTATTCTCCCCCACTTTGCCTATGGGGGTGTGTCAAACTATATATGAATTATAATTAGGTGTAGGCTGTAGTGGGGTAGCCAATGTAGGGTACAACCCCTTAGGGTTCTCATCCTTGTACCCAACTCTCTCGATAGTCAAGACCATTCCTCTCTCACTACTCTATTAATACTCTCTAAGGAGTACCTCACTGCAGTCTACCATAATAATAACATTTGACACACCCCCATAGGCTAAGTGAGGGGCACCCAACAACTAGCAAGTAGAACAGTGGTCACACGACCAGTCAAGCAAAACAAGGCTCAGGGTGGTGCTCAAAGTCACCACACACTCCGAGCACAAACAAGTGGCCACAAGGCCAGTTCAAGAGTTCACTATGATATATATAGTAAAGTACAACAAGCAATGAAAACAACAAGTCTACAGTAACCGAGGGCCTACCTCAACCAGCCCCAGCTGCACACAGAATCTGTGGTGGTCACCAGTCGCCAAGGCCTTGGTGAAGACGTCTGCAGTGTTGGCCTCTGAGGCCACAAAGTCCAGGCGTGCCTGGCCGCGTCGCTGCAACTCTCTCAAGAGGAAGTACCTCACGTGAATATGCTTCACTCTGCTCTCCAGTCGAGGCTCTCGACACAGGAGGATCATGGCCTTGTTGTCAGCGTACAAGGTCGGTGCAGAGCGAGGCCGCTCACCAAGGTCAGCGAGCAAGAAGGTCAACCAGCGAAGCTCCTGTGCCGCCATGGCACCAGCGTAGATCTCTGCCTCTGCACTGGACGAAGCCACAGACGACGACTGTGTAAACCTCCACGACACGGCACCAGCACCCAGACTGAAACAGTAACCCTGTGTAGTCGAACGCTGGGTCTCCACGTCGTCAGCGTAGGAAGAGTCGCAGTGACCGGTCAACTCAACTGGCTGTGTCCCTCCAAGCACAAGCCCCATGCCTGATGTAGTCGCCAGGTACTTCGCCACCCTCACAGCAGCTGTCCAGTGAATAGGACGGTGTCTCCCAGTCGCAACAAAGCGAGAGAGGACGCTGAGGGGAAAGGCGAGGTCCGGCCGAGTACAAGTCATCAGGTACATGAGGCAGCCCACAAGCTCTGCGTAGGGACCACTGGGCTCAAACGGCTCGTCAGGAAAGGGGCCAGTGAGACAGTGGTCAACGGCAAGAGGAGTGGGTTGTGTAGTGGAGATCTGAAACCTGAACCGCCAAAAAACCTGCTGCAGCATGTGTGACTGAGTCAGTGTGATGGTGCAAGCGGCTCTGTCCCTGGTGATCTGCAGGCCAAGGTAGCGCTGCAGCTCACCGAGGTCAGTGCACGTGTGTCTATTCTGGAGTTCGGATTTCACCTCCGCCAGTGCTGTCCTGTCAGCTGTAGCAACCACCAGGTCGTCGACGTAGACCAGGATAAAGAAGGGAGTGGAGCCAGTATGAACAAACAGCGACGGGTCAGCAGAGGAGGGACGAAACTCTAGGTCACGAAGCGTGGAGCATGTCGAGGGCATCCAGGTCTCCCTCAGGGGAAAGTAGCATGGCACAGAGAGAGGGGGAAGCAGCTGCCAGGAACTCCAACTCAAACTGCCTATCCTCGAGGACGTCACAGCCAAGGGCAAACCCACCCCCGGCGGCCTCAGGACGGGTAGGCGGTGCAGCTACGATACGGGTGGCAAAGTCAAGGCGGCGGGTGGACGCAAAGGCAGTGACAGCGGCAGTGAGAGCGGAGACAGACGACGGAGATGTGAGAACACGCGAGACAACAGGACGCACTGTACGGTAGTAAACAGTGATAGGGGTAGAGAGGGAGGCTGTAAGAGCCGACTCAGGAGGTGAGGGGAGAACAGACACAGGAGTAGCACGACGAGGACTCGAACAAAACAAGGCGGTGCAGAGGTCGGCAAGAGGAGACGAGGGACGAGCACGCGGGGGACAGCGAGCGGTTCAGTCGTGTGGGACAATAGGAGGAGGTGCTTGTGACTGGGGAGGAGGGAAAACAGCCGGAGACGAGTCCGGAGGAGTAAACGAAGGACCGTAAGTGGGCAGTGACTGCGGGTGGACAGGAGGAGGGCTTGAAGGCCACTCACTGGTGTGACCACGGGCTGCGGTGGCTGCTGCTGCCGCGGCTGCTGCTGCTGCTGCTGCCGCCGCCGCTGCTGCTGCCGCCGCCGCCGCCGCCGCCGCCGCTGCTGCTGCTGCTCCAGCAGGTCCAACTGCCGCAACTCCTGCCGCTCCAACCGCTCCTGCTCCTCGCGTGCACGCCGGCAAGCCGCCTGAAAACGCGTGTCGTGGCGGTGGGGAGGTGGAGTGCTCTCCGCAGACGTAGTGCCCTCAGCTCCAGTCTCCTCAGAACTAGCACCCCCAGTACCAGTGTCCCCAGAGGGGGTACCACCAGGGTCAGGTTCCCCAGCTCCAGCGCCGCCTGTCCTAGCACCCCCAATGCCAGGACCTCCAACCTCAACACCCCCAAAACTAGCACCTTCAGTGCCAGCACCTCCAGCTCCAGCACCCCCAGAACTAGCACCTCTAGTGCCAGTACCTCCAGCTCCAGCACCCCCAGAGCTAGCGCCGCCTGCGCCAGCACCTCCAGCTCCAGCACCCCTCGAACGAGCACCCCAGACCGAGTACCGCCAATGGCTGCACCTCCAGCTCCAACACCAACCGAGTCAACAGTAACCTGTCGCGGAAGTGCCGAAGGATACTGAGGGGACTGTGAGGAGGACTGCCGGGAGAGAGACGCAACCGGACGCGCGACCGAGGGTAGAGTAGCGGAGGGTTTGAGACACACCTGACGGGGCAGGACCGGGGGGGGTGGGGGTACCGGAGGAGCGGGAGCAGGGGGAAGAGAGGGTGCAAGGAAAAGCAGGGGGAACCGGGAGACCTCGACAAAGGTACCGGGTGTAGTAGGACACTGACTCGACAAACTGGACGTCACGGAAGTCTAGGATCTGGTGGAGAGGCGGGTGGTAAAAGGACCAGTCGGTTGAGGCTACCGGGAAACCAAGGAAGACACAGGGGACGGCGCGAGGCGAGAGCTTGTCCGCAGAGGTGTCGCGGACAAGCGCAAGGCAGCCCCAGACATAAAAGGCGGACCCAACACCAGGGGACCTGGTCCAAAGACTGGTCGGTGAAGCCTCTGGCCGAGAGACGCGCGGCTGGAGGTTCAGCTGGTGAGCGGTGTAGCGAACCACGTAGGGCCACAGAAAATGGGGCGCACGGGCATGGATCATGGACGTGCGGGCGATGTCCATGACCAAGCCAATGCGGCGCTCAGCAACCCCATTCTGCTGTGGGGACTCCGGAAGCGTCAAGGACTATACAATGCCCTGCTCGCCGTAGAATCCGGCAAGAATGCCTGAGCGAAACTCACCCCCACGGTCAGAGTGGAGACAGGATACACGACGGCCACGAGTGCCCTCAGTGGCTAGAAGCCACCGGATCAGCGTAGAAGTCACCTCGGACTTCTTCGCGAGAGGAAACACCGTGGTGTATGTGGAGAAGTCGTTGACGACCACCAGAAAGTAGCGCTCCCTCTTAGGTCCCTGCGTAGGTGCAGGGCCCCAGACATCCAAGTGGAGTGTCTGGAAGGGGGCAGTGGCCGGACGAAGGGAGGAGGAGTGCGGAGTGGCACGAAGACGGCCGGTGAAGCAAGGAGTGCACGGTGGTGCAGACGAGGGAGGGAGCGACGGGAAGACTCTAGGGAGACCTGTGACAAGACGGTGACTAGCCATAGTGCGGAGGCGGGGGATCGACGGGTGGCCAAGATGGTGGTGCCACAAGACTGTCCGCTGGGTGAAAGACCGACAGGAGCAAGACGCGGCAACCTGACCAGACGCGACAGCCGGAGGAGACGCAACAACCTGACCTGACACAGCAACCTGTGGGGACACAGTAACCTGACTGGACGCTGCTACCGGGGGGGACGAAACAACCTAACCAGACGCAGCTACCTGCGGGGGCGGAGTGTGCAGGACGAAGAGAACTGAGTGCGGCTCTCTGGTGAACGTGGCAAGAACTGCCCCGGTGGAAGAGTCCGTACAGATCGCAGTCCTCCCGTGCGCAGGAAAAGTGACAGTGATCCCCTGGTCCTGAAGGTATCCAACATTCACCAAGTTCTGAGAGAACGAGGGGATGTAGAGACCAGTGAGGAAACCAGAGGGGATAGCTGGGCACGGGAGAGTGGTCGAGCTGCGAGCAACTGCTGGTCCTGAAGTAGGATCAGCTAGGGTAACTGGGACTGGAGCCGAAAGAGGTGTGACAGTGGTGTGGTCGCGAAAGAAACACTGAGACGCGCCGGAGTCCAGCGTGAAGGAGAGCGACGCAATAGTAGTCGTCACGGCTGGGCGAGTGACTACAGAAGCACCTACACTAAAAGCACAAGTACCTACACTAGCAACAGGCAAAGTTCCTAAGCTAGGTACACGCAAGCCAAGAGATCCATACGTGACAGAATAAACAGCATCTATAGACATCTCAAACACAGGGAACCCACTACGAACCAGACCGGGCCAGATCGGGGGAGCCGACTCAGACCCAAAACGCTCACGGTAGAGGTCGTCGAGGCGGCTGTAGCAGCGCGATGCAGAGTGGTCAGGACGCCAGCAGGTAGTGCCAGCACCAGGGCCAGTCAGGATCCGGTACTGGCAGGGGCCGACGTCACGGCCACCGCTACGAGCCCTCAAGCTGGCTGGGCCGCTGCTGCAGCCAACGCTACCCGAACCACCAGGCCCCCACGGCTGCTGAGGGCGCCACAGCTGCTGAGGGCGGAGCTGCTGCTGAGGGCGCCTCTGCTGCTGTGGGCGCCACTGCTGAAATTGTCGCTGCTACTGTCCCTGCTGCTGGAGAACCCTAGTGGACGCCATGATAAAGGCTAAGAGCGACAGGTGAAACTAGGCGAGGAACGGTTGGAGCATGGAGCAAACTGAGCTAGGAGCGAGGAGCAAGAATGACTGGAGCTAGAACGGCTGGAGCTGAAACGGCTGGAGCTAGAACGGCTGGAGCGAGAACGACTGGACCTAGGCACGGCTAGAGCTAGGAGTGGCTGGAGGTAGAACGGCTGGAGCGAGAAACGGCTGGAGCTAGGAACGGCGGGCTAGGGCCGGCTGGAGGTAGAAACGGCCGAAGCTAGAGACTGTAAGTGCGACTGTCGGCTGCCGCTAGTAGGGCCACTGGTAGTAGAAAGTACGTACGACAGTAGGGGCTGCAGTACTGACGGCTGCAGGATGTAGGGAACTATGCAGGTCGTCCGGCAAATAGGAACGCAGGCGACAGTTGCAGCCCCCCCCCCCCCCCCCCCCCCCCCCCTCCCCCACCCTTTTTTTTTGGGTTGAATTAATTTATTTATTTTCTGGCGCTAAAGCGCTGCGGGGCGCGCTGCCTGCAGGGTGTGCTGCCTGCGGGGCGCGCTGCCTGCAGGGCGCGCTGCCGCGGGGTGCACTACCCGCGCGGCGCGCTACCCGCGGGGCGCGCTACCTGCGCGGCACGTGGCCTAGGGGCAGGGCGACGCGCGGGCTAGGGGCAGGGCACACGGGCGCGCACGGGCTAGGGGCAGTGCGCACGGGCGACGTGACGGGCTGGGGCAGGGCGCATAGGCGACGTGACAGGCTAGGGCTGGGCGCACGGGCTACGCGACGAGTTAAGGCAGGGCGCACGGGCAACGCGACGGGCTGGGGCAGGGGTAACGGGCGACGCGATGGGCTGGGGCAGAAGCGCGATACGGGGGGCACAGGGGAGGGCTAGGCGCGGAGGCGCGGATGGTGCGTTACGGAGGGCACGAAGGGCGCGTTACGGAGGGCGCGTTACGGGAGGCTAGGGCGCAAAGGGCGCTAAAGCGCGGAGGGCGCTAGGGCGCGGAGGGCGCTTAAGGCGCGGAGGCACTCTAGAGCGCGGAGGCGCGGAGGGAGGCTAGGCTAGGCAAGGATTCGAAACCTACTCGTGATACCATCTCAGAAAGTGAATGCAACGGAATGTGGAGACTAGCATCGAGAGGGATACAAAATAAGCAACCTAACAAAGTTGTACTCTCTAAGGAGTACCTCACTGCAGCCTACCATAATAATAACATTTGACAAATACCTAGGAAGAAAACGCTGAAAATTCAGCGTTGGTACAAAAACAAATGCTGATGATTCTGTGTATGGCTTTATGATAATTCTGATTATGCAAAAGTACAAAATCAAAGTGTACGTTGGTTCATGGTTTGGGTTGGGAGTGGCAAGAGAAGCAGGTGAGCTATGGGGAGCGGCCAGCCAGAGTAGCGGGTGAGCTGGGGGAAAGGGCGAGGCGGAGGGGGCGGGGAAACATTGTGGGCTGGGTTGGAGAAGAACTGAGAGGAAGTGGTGGTGGGCTGGGGGGAGTTTCGAGTGGGGGAGGTGGGTCCGCGCGGAGACAATTTCAGTATGGACGCCATCCGCGCAGTGGGTTTCGAGACTGTTTGATTATTTGTTGTGTACCCCCGATACAAGGCTGAGTGGTCAGCCTACCCTACTACAAAAAGGCTGAAAAACAGGCAAGGCAAAAAAAAAAAAAAAAGGAGGCGACGAAATCATCTTAGGGTTGCAAAGCAATACGTGTAACATGCTTTAGAATTTTGAACGACTTTGATTACTTCGTCGTATTTGGATTAAAACGAATTGTGTGATTTTCGTGTTTTTTATGTGAATGTAAGGAAAATTCCCTTTCCTTACTCCGCGTCCCTGCTCAGCGCGTACACCACTGTTCCCGCCAACAGCACCCAACAGTAATCCGTTACCACTCGCGACACTCGCCTCGACACTGTTCCCGCCACTGTTCACGACGCGACCCAACCTCACGGTTCGGTTGGTAACCCGCGCTTCGGGTTCCGCCTCGACATTTCCCAACCTCAGCACTAAGCCCGTCGCGCGCACCATTTTCACACATTACTGTTATCACTGTAGTTTCGCTATATTTTTTTCGCTCATGCCTTCACTCATTGTACTCTTGCTTCGATAGTGCAATTCTCGCTCGCTCACTCAATTGCACTCGTAACACTTGGTATTCAGAGCCTACGATCTTCTCTCGGACCGCACCCACACCTTCGCTTCCCCACTATCTCAATTTTTTTGGGGGGGGTAGATGCCTCTCAGCGACACAAGCACCGCCGCTCGAAGTGCTCTCTCGTAAGCACGCACGGCCACGACAGAGGCTCTCGCTGAGCTTGCCCGACACCCCCGCCATGGCTCAATGTAGCTCAGCCGACAAGCGAGTCCGCCTGGAGGAGCTCGCTGCCCGCGGGAAAAAAAAAAAAAACCCCAGTCGGGCATGTGGACAATTATTTCGTTCAATGTACGTCGGGGGGCGGAAGGCGGGCATCTCGCACGAAATTATGCTACGCGGGCTCTCGAATTTCAACGAGATCCCCGCGCTCGCCAAGAAAATCGACATTTTGCGCCGTCCGAGACCGGGGTCCTACTACGGACATCGTCCTCGGGGATCGATCGAGCACGCCACTGTACATGCTGTCGCGCCATTTAAGGGGCGCTGCTTTGCTTGCAATAGGCCGGGCCATCGCAAGAGCGAATGCCCAGAGGAGCTGAGGCGCAGCGGAGCAGAGCAGGGGAGGGAGTCTCAGAGACAGGGAAACGCCAGCAGTCAGTAGAAGTTGGGCCAACTACTGACGAGACTGCCTGCTCGCCCAACCTCACCGACCCTCACCGAGTCACAGTACCGATTCACGCTATCGATCGGGCTCGGATGAATAAGGAGGGTACAGCGACGGATTGCCCAGTACTGATCCACGGGAAAATACAGGGAGCAGCAGTGAAGATCTTCATCGACGGAGGAGCAAGTCATAGCTTAGTTAATACCGCGACCGCACGGAGACTGCAACTGACGCTTAGCCGGTGCTTACCGAAGATCGATGCGCGCTTAGTTGACGGCACACCGCTGGCCATACGGGAGAAGGTGGAGAGAGTAAAAGTCCGCTGCGGGGGGGACTTCGGGTTTACATAGGGAATGCTTGCGACGACATTGGATGGGCACGATATTTTACTGGGACGTGATTGGCTGCGACGGTATAACCCATGAATCGACTGGACAACGGGCAACTGCACTGCGCGAAGTAGCGGTAACTGGGTTGAGCTACCTCGCTGGCAGTCGCCCGAGTCTTCAACGGTCCACGTCAATGTTGTGTGATGCAATCATATGCATTCACGTCTGTCTGCCTCCCATCATATGTTCGTGCGTTGCATGCGTAGTGTGAGCGTGTGCAAGAATTACTGTTTGGTGTGGT